GCCGCCGCCGCTGAGCGGCAGCGCTGCCCGGGGAACAGCGGCGCTCGGGGACCCCACGCAGCTCCCGGGGGAGCAGCAAACCCACCCAACCCTCGCTCCTACCCCACCGCCCACCCACGGCACAGCCTTCCCTTCCCCACGCTGCCTGGATTTTGTGTGTTTGGGTTGGTCCCTGCTATCCGTCTCACCTGTTGTGTGCGGTGATGCTGTGGCTCCAGGACCGATGTTGCCACCAGTTTGTGCTGGAAGGAGCTCTCTGTGTACTGGGCAGGTGTGTACCTGTGGAGTTGGGATCCCACCTCCCCGTGCTGGGTGGTTGTACATCTCTTAGAGGGGTCTCTCACCCAAATGGATTGTCTTGTGCTGGATTATAGCCTCTTTATCCCAGCTTAACATATGGGAAATCCCAGAAACAGCCCTTGAAGGAGTGTGTTCATGAGAGCTTATCCATGCTTGAAGGTTGCATTCATTTAGCTACTTCTGCATCCATTTTTAGTTAAGGTCTGTGCAGCTTTATGGGCAGTGAGACTTCGCGGGGAGAAAGATCGTGGGGTTCTTTGTTTTTCCATTAACTCATCTGGTTGGGAATTGCAGCTCTTTAATTAAAGCAGCACAGTACGGACTGGCCCTGAGGTGCTATTCTAAGACACTTGTACTCACATCTGCTTTGGGGTAAGGCTCTGCCTGTTTGAGGTTAGGCTTGTGCTATTGTGTGTCTGAGAGCAGGAGGAAGCAGCGAATCAATCACTGGGGCTCCATCCCAGCCACTCACACTGTGTTTTACCTCCCTCAGCAAACATCCCTGTGTGTGCAGTCGGCACAGACCACTGGAGTGTGCACCTCACCCTTCCTGGGAGTCGGAGGGAGTTGCAGGGCACAGCAAAAGGATTTAATTAAGCAGCATATGGAGAGCTGAGGGAAACTCTGGACCCGGCTCAGAGCCACCACTGAGAGTGGAGAGCAATCACAGCAGCCATGTCCATCGCCTGTTGTTGTTTAAGTTGAGCTTCCCCCACCCCTTCACGTTTTGCTCAGTCAGTAAATGGCTTCATGTAAACTCCTACAGGAGCAGCAGCCACACGGGAATGCCGTGGGCAGTCGGGCTGGGATCCGTGCGGATCATCTGATGTTTTTGTCCATGTGGCATTTGTTTGGGTTGATATCAGGAAAGCTAGTGCGTCTACATTGCCAGCAGTGCATACAACAGCCTGACTGTGGCCAAGAGAACGTGGAAACTGGCAGGGAAAAGTTGATTCTTTGGGATTTTTCCCTCCTGATACATGGGCTGGACTTTGGAGAGTTATTTTTAGTTGACAGAAAAGTTTAGGCTGTGTATAAATCCATAGCATCCTCTGGAAGTACCACCAGAAGTGCTGAGGAAGGCGGTAGGCTTGGATAAAACACTCCTTGCTGCCTTTGTTAGGTGCTGGGACAATTAACAGGGATGTTTAGGCGTTGTGATGCCCATGCTGAAAGCAAAGTGGCAACCCTTAGCCAGGCTGGCCCTGAGCACAGAAAGCTGTGTATCTGCACTGCTGACCCTGGGAACAAAGGATCCTCCTGAACCCAAACATGTTTGTGTTAATCCTGGCTGCTTCCTGGCGGCCAGCGAGAGGAAGCAGAGCCACTACCTCTAACAGATGTACAGTGAGGAGATTACAGGGTGCGATTAAACACCCTCTCCATCACATCCTCCCCTCGGCCAGCCCAGCACAGCGCATTAATGGACTGTCCCAGGCTGCCTGCCAAGCTCAGGCAGATGTAACAGGCAGCAGATACTTAATCTCCCGTGTCTCTGCCTGGTTTGGAGCTCCCCTCACACCAAAAGCCTGAGCTGGGTTAGCTGTACCTGCCTGCAAGGAGTGGGCTGGGGAAGGCAGGAAAACACGTGGAATTCACACCATCCAGAAATCATAGAATCATTAAGGTTGGAAGAGACCTTTAAGATCAAATCCAACTATAAATGATGCATTTAGCTGAAGTGCTGTTAAAACTAAAACACAGGTACCTGTAGGTGAGTACAGCAGGGTTGGCTAAGGAATCAGATACAGAAGAAGTTGGGAAGGATCCTTATTTTGGTGGATTGACTTGCTTTTTGGCTGCTACACTTAGAGTAGGAGATTTCAAGGCTATGAAGGGCTAGTTTCCTCTTTGTGTGGGTTTAGGTGGTGCCTTATATTGCCATAGGCAGTCTTAGTGCCAAATGCTGCTATTTCCATAGAAATAATCTGGGCTGAGTGCAAAAAATCAGCTAGTCTGTTTAGGTTAATTAGTGTGGTAATGGCAGCGTATGTTCCATTATCAAATGAAAAGCTGGTTCTAAAATAAAAGAACCCATTGTGGAAATTGGAGAGTTCAGAATAGTCATCATGTGAGATGTGGACAACCCCTGTCAGCCAAATGGGTTGGATTTGATTCCGTAAACATTTCTAAGTCAGTTTTTCTTTTTTTGGGTGAGGGTTGTGACCTCGGTTACAATGCTGGAGGTGTTGCCGTTGTCTGAACCATAGGCTTCCTCCCCAGTTCTGTGCAAAGGGGTCCAGCATTGTAACTGCCAACAATGTGCCATTGTGTTGGGTAGAGCAAAGGGAAAACTCATCGAGTTCTGCTGAGGACATTTTCCCTTGACTCTGTTCTGGAGGGGAAGTGGCTCAGTCAGAGGCAGCACCAGGTGACACTCAGAGTCAGGAAGCCACAGGGACGTCCCCTTCACAGGGTGCATTGGCACAGGCAGAGCTGCCTGTGGGTTTGCAGCTCCTCGTGGTCAACATGACTTGGGAAGGATCCCAGAAATGTGCACAGCTGCAACGGCACCCGCTGTGCCACAGTCTCGCGGGGAACCGGATACCTCCTTCCCGCCATCCCAGGAATCTGCATGGCCGTGCCTCTTCCCTTTCGCCTCGCCTGCACAGAAATCGCTTTTCCTGAGTGCAAGAGACAACTGTTTGGCAAATAACAGCAGCCTTGGCTCCAGGGATAGCGTTGTTTTCAATAGCTGCCAGGCTGGAGCCAGTAGCAAAAGGCAAAGGGACGAAGGTCTAAGTGGCACCATCTGCTTCACAAGGGCATCGTTTCTAATTCAGCATCAGAGGAGGCTCCTGGAGTTAAGTAATTGGGAATAGCAGGCTCCTGGCTGGAATGTGTGCCAACCCTCCTGGCAAAAAGCTGTTAAATCTCTGTTGCTGGCGTGTGAAAGTGGTTCTGTGTAACAAGGCTCCGAAGGCTGGTTTTAACCCTCAATGTACGTAAAAAAGCAAGCTAAGGCACTTTTGATCTTGGAATGGCATGTGGCCAGGTGTTGGGAATACAGAGGGAAGGTGGGCCCTCATCGAGTTATGTGAACAGCTCCAAGTCTGATCCTCCCGTGCCGCCAACAGCCGGATGCAGCCTGCCAAAAATGCACACAAAATGGTGCCTGTTTTAACAGCTTTAGCAGGAAAAGACAGGGTGTGATGAATGATTCATGAGGATCAATGGAACCCAAGGCATTTACTGCCCCTTAAAACCAGTGCCTGTCTGCCAAAGGGTGTATTTGCAAGGTGAGCGATCACAAAATCCTCTGCTGAGCTTTTGGGACAAAGTCATGCACTTGGCTCCACACTTGCTCCAGCCCTTACCCTGCAGCCTGCAAATAGGTCCATCCAGCTTACCAGCTAGGATGAGGAGCCTTTCATTCTCCAGATGAAAGCAGGAGCTGTTAGGCATCTCTCAGTGAGCTCAGATACAAACAAGTCCACATTGTGCACCTCCCTCCTAGGGTGGCTTCCTTGGAAGCTTTGGCCTTCATCCTGTTTGTCTGATTCGTGATCAAAAGAGAGTTGCTGCCTACGTGTGTCTTGAGGCAGTTTCTTCTATCTCATACAAACGTCCAATTTCTTCATTAAAATAAAATTAAGGTGATGCAATCAAGTAAGATCTGTCTCTGCAGTCATTATCTTTTACTGATAGTGAGATCAGGGCTGGGCAAAAC